TTTGCAGAAGCAGTCAAAAAAACTCTATTCATCTATTTTTTTCCCCTATAAGTAATTTGTCTTTGTCAGGTTCAGCTGACGGTGAAATGTAAAGAAAGTCCTCCGGGGTCGAACAGTGTTTAAGTCCATTTATTTTCCCAGCATTCACTGTCAATCAGTCAGAATTTGTTGATAAAAAATTGACAACGGCTTCTCCTTTACTTAATCATTCATACCGTCCATTTGTTGGCATTGTGTTCTGGCATTTTGATGAACAGGTATTGGAATGAACTCTGCTCCCCCATTGGTTGTTTCTATTTGAGTGCTGATTGACAGGCAAATCCATGCAGCACTAAGTATGGAAAGCATGGAGGGTGAACTTCAGGATCCAAGTAATTTGTTTGATTGACAAATCAACCAACATCTCATGTATAACATTGTCACCATACTTCTTCTGCTCATCAAACCCCTGAACCCACTAGCAATTTGAAAAGTTTGGACTGGACGATACTGATTACAAGAAGCTAGATTCCCCAAAGTATAGCCTCTCTATAGATGTTCATTTCCAGAACCAATGCTGTTTGAGAGATATGTCCCAGTGTGTCTTGTTGGTACTTCTTCCTTTCCTGCATCAGCTCTGGTTCCTTCCTTAGAGATGTTGTTCAAAGTTCCTTCACCCACTTCTGAGATGCCCAGGGGCCTTCACCATAGACCCTTCAAATTCTTTGTCTGCCAATAGGCTTGAAATTAATCTTTCCCAAATGCCTATCCTTATGTGCATGGGTTGGCTCAAAGGGCAGTCTGGTCCTTCATGCATTTTATTTTGGTTGTTCCTGACAAAACCCAGTGTGTCAATGCCTGGCCAGCATACCCTAGCCAATGAGCTTACCTCCTGGTTCAGGCTCCAGGGGAAATCCCTGGTTTCCATATTGCAAGGGAGATGCTTGAGCTCCTGCTTGGCCAATTTATCAAGTCCTACACATGGGTCACTTTTCCCTTGGAGATCCATAAGTGGCACCTTTATTGAGGTGGCAATCTTGGGTGGGCACTTCAGATGAAAATGCCACACATCAATTTAATAATAACCCAATACTCGCACTTATATTTGCTTATACAGAATGTAACATATTCTTGTAGATTTTCCCAACTGAGGATCCCACATTCCATCAATATCTTAACTGTACCTAACATACAGCACAAATAATGTGCACAAAGCACATTTTGTGAAAAAATAAATGATGTCCTGTCACATCACACGCCGTTGTCTCTCTGGGAAACCCTATACTCAACCTTCAACCGAATAACATCAGCAGACCCTGTAGGAATGAACAGACAAGTCCAGACGTCAGCCGTTACCCACTAGCTGCCACTCTCAGGTGTATGAACAGAAGGAAATTTAAGCAGCCAGGTATTATAGACAGCTTTTAAAATTCCCAGTTAGATGTACATGCAGGGAAGTGTTTAGACAGTAAAGTACGAGTAAACAGCAGAGATTGATTGGAGAACATTAGCTAAAGCTTAAAGGCGCATAGCTGGGTAATGCCAGGATGACAGAATGGGAGAAAGAATGAACACAGTGTGGAATTTATGCAGACAATTGGAAGTGTGCCTGTTGAATCACGTTATGACAGTGAATTTGTGCAAATGATGAGCTCGGGCCTTTTGTCTGGAGTGGTTTAACCTTAGAAGATTAGGAGATACATGTTTGGTCCTGTAGCAGAAATGAATTCCTTCAGTTAAACTTTGTTTTGAATAAAGGACTATCAATCTTTAGCAAGCAGGTTTAGCAACTTTGGAGGAAAGAGTGGGTTTGAACCTATCACCGCTTCAATGAGGACCTTTGCCTCTGTACGTGGGGCGCCAACATAACTACTAGGCTATCTGCCACCCCAGCATTCTTGTTTTGTTTTTGTTTATGTGAGGACCAGTATTATCAGACTGTTCAAACGAGGACCATTATGGCAAGACAGGACACTATTAATATTCTGTTGTAGTTTAATTTGGGTGTTACTTTTAGGTTCAGGGACTTGGAACAAAGGTGCTTACAAGACTAGAAGTACAGTGGTGTGTACAAATGATGGTTGTGAGTTCTTGTTTTTCTGTCCTTGTGAGGACCAGCGATTGACTGTTCAAATGAGGACCAATAAGACATTATAAAAGTTCTGTTGTAGTTTAATTTGAGTGTTAAATTTAGATTCAGGGACTTAAAAAAGAATGCTTACAAGACTAGAAGTACTGTGGTGTGTACACATGATGGTTGTGAGTTCTTGTTTTTCTATCTATGTGAGGACCAGCAATTGACTGTTTAAATGAGGACCTATGTGGCAAGTGAGGATATTATTAAAGTTCTGTTGAAGTTTAATCTGAGTGTTCATTTTAGGTTCAGGGAAAATACAATGCTCACAAGTCTAGAATTGTATGTTGTCATGACACATCACATTTGTCTACGCTTCCAAAGTCCCTCACGTGTCCCGCTCCTTTTGTGTTTTTTCACCTTTTAATGATTCTTTATTGTGCGCTATAGACCACAGCCTTTGTAGCAAGACTGAATGTGCTCCCTCAGGTGCGGGCTTAGCTTCTGTTTGCTCACATCATCCTTTACTTTTAGCTCTGGGTGTGGACAGTATTGAATTGAAGCAAGGATCAGTGCTTAAGTTCGTCTCCGCCCTGTTCAGGTAGAGGCTGGATCATATCCCAGAACAATGAATCCCACAATCTAAGACCGCCTGCTCTGATTGGATCCTACATGAGGAAGGATCATAGATTAAAGAGCAAATATAATGAGGGCAACATAACATTAAGATATCTAAGAAGAGGAACTCAAATCAATGAGTCATTTTTTTTTTTGCATTAATTTAACTAAAGCTGCTTAAAGTTCCTTTACAGGATCTTCGATTCCTTTGAGATCCTTCTTGGATTACAGAATTTGTAATGCTCCAAATCACTTGTTTGGCTTCTATTTTTAGCTCCTTCTTCTTCTTCAGTTTCTTTGCCAGCCTTTCAATTTAGCCACTCTCTCTATTAAGCCCCAGTCCACTACCTCCTTTTCAATCCCCTCTGTTTCCCCCTTCCTTGCTCCCTCCATTAGCCCAAATTTCACTGTTTCCCTGCTCACTTTCTCCCTCTCTTGCCCTCCTTCTGTCAGTGTGATTAGAGGAGTTGAGGAGATCAGAGGGAAGAAAGCAGGACCAGCGCAACTGACCTTTCCCCTCCTTCTCTCTCCGTCTGTTCTCTGCCAAGTTTGCTGTCTTCTCGTTTTTCTTTTCCTTATTCACCACGTTTTTTTTTTCTTTAACTTTCATGGTTTTAACTGATTCTGTTGTGACCGGCAGGTGGCAAACTTATCTTAGTTGTACAGCAGAAATCCCTTAATCACTCTTCCTTTGCTTTTAGTTCTAATGTTGTGTTTTACCGCTATTAATGGAATTGTCTTCAATCTAGTTTTTTGTACTTCATTCCTTTTATCATAACAAATTAGCCAATAAGTCATTTGATGCAACTGATCTTTCTCAGAGACGATGTAAGACTCCCACACTGCAGATAATTTCTTTCACATTTGACCATGAAAACAAACTAGAGTTTGTCCGACAGGTGACTTCTTCTACCCAATCGAAAACCTCTTCCCTGATTAGCCGTCTAGTACACTTGCTTGCCAGCTTTTAATTGATGCAAAAAAACAGATAAACATTGACTACTGACTTTGCCGGTGTCTTTGAAAAGGGTAGATATTGGCTGATAGTCACGTTCAGCCAATGTCTCAGTTCATTCCTAATCTAGATAGAGATTAAAAGAAAGAATAATATATATGTTCTAGGGTTGTTCAGTTATTGTCCTCTTCTTGTTGACACTCTTAAACCGAACATTTCTCAGATGCCTTCACATGGGATACACAGCAGTCTTTCCCAGACTCTTATTATGAAAGACTGAGACCCAGACTAGACCAGCAGATGACTACTTACAGGGGTCCTGACGGGTCCCTGACCTCGATTATTGTGGATATGAACACTCTCAGACTGCGGTCTTATGAACTAATACACCCCGCACACTCTCACCTCGCCCACCCCCCTGTCCTCTGAACCTCCATCACACCCCAGTCAACACCCTTTTGTCCCTCCTCCCCTCCTGTCCCCATCTCTCCACCCCGCCAGCACCCTTTCATCCACTAATCACATTGAAATGCCAGCCTTGACCTTTGAGTTTGACCCCCAAGAGACCCCATTAACCGTGGACTCGTATGAGACATGTGCTCCTGAATTCACAAGATCGCAAATGTTTGGTTCACACACAGTATTAGACGCACAAAAACACACATGTACATGGAAGGCAAACACAATATGCTCACTGCTCAACATGTGCTCCATCACCTCCCACCACACAGCTCCATAGGTGTATTGTGGAGTCTCACATATGTGAACTTATGCCACTCATATGTCAGCTTATAAAAGTTATCTTTGTGTGGCTTTTAAACTCTAAAAGCACTGCGTGATGTTTGGAAGCTATCTCAGGAATGCCACCTTGAACACACCAAGGTTAACCTGTAGCGCACTTGGAGTTTATGAACTTCAAAATGTTGCATGGACATACTGAGATGAAGGGATATATTTTTGTGGGAAAATCTGGCAAAAATGTAAAAAACATGGAGATTTGAGATTACAGAAATGCCTAGACTATAAGACTATGAAATATGGCAAAGCTTGAGTGTCTTGCAGGAAGGCAATCTACACAACACTGCAACTAGATTCCTGAGATTATTTCCCATGGTGCGCTGGGTGGAGATTAGCAAAATGAAAGTCTAACACTGGAGGAGATAGAGGAAAAACAAACACAGACAAAGCTCTTGACGGATGCTCCTTTATCTAAATGTTTGTGTTATATAAAGATAATATCATTTTTTGTCAACATGATGTCTGATTTGGACACTGCAGATTGCTGGCATTGATTTTTTTTTTTTTAAATGCTACCACGTTGATTCTTCCAGAGAATCGTTTTTTAATCTTCTTCTATTTTTTTTATTCCTGCAGGGTACAAATGACGGGCCATGTGGAGGACTGGACTGCAGCGGCGGATGCAAGTGCAACCCGGAGAAAGGCAGCAGGGTGAGTCGACCTGAAAGTCTTTCTTTGTGATGCTGTCTCATAAAATCCATCTCTAACCGTCCCAAAAGAGCCAACAGCATCAGCACATCACAGGAGCAGTTTTCTTCATCAGTTATCTCTTTATGGATTAGGCGAACATTACCTGATATTTAGAACAAAAGAAAATAGGGGTATTAGCTTGAGAGTCTGCCAATAAGGGGGAATATAGGAGAAAGCTCACATGGGGAGGGTCCATGGAGGTTTGGGACAGCATGATCCATCATTATTGTAAGCAACAATTACGCTTAAATTAGCTTTAAAGCAACAAAAACAAACATTTTATGTCTTGTTGCTCCTGCTAATTGTAGCCTGTTTCAAAATGTACCTACTAAAAAAATCACAGCAGCTCATACAGCAACATTTCGGCAGCTTTCAGTAGCAGCTCTCGCTTCCTTATGTGGGTCTTTGATGTAACATCCGGTGTTTCCATGACAACGATAAATGTTCTGTCTGTCATGGCGGTCGCCTTGACAAGACATGTCCTGTTACAACAATAAAATGCCGTATTTCTCGGGCTTTGATAACTGTTTGAAACATTTGAGGTAATGCAAGTACTCTATGAAAAAATAACATTTTTGTGATTGATTTAGATATTTTAATCTAAACATTTCTACATATTGTACCTTTAAGAAGAAGACGTAAAAAAATAGACATTTTTTCAATAGATGGGCTTAAAAATTGATTAACTTGTTTTTTTTTTTGTTTTTTTTTAAGATTTATTTTTGTGCCTTTAATGGAGAGACAGGACAGTGGATAGAGTCGGAGATCAGGGAGGGACCCAAAAAAATGGATTCATATTTTAATGAGTAATTAGAGCAGATAACTTGTTGTGTCCTGTGCTGGTTAAGCTATGATAATGAAAACAAAGTTAATATTAACTGGCGCCAACACAAGCCTCAAATCGCTGTTCAGTTGTGAGAATTGTTTGAAGTTCACTTGAGGTTTCAGCTTTGCAAAAATTAAATATCCTCAAACACGTTGACTAGCTTCGCTTCATTCAGTCGCTACATGACGACCTCGGGGCTCTATTTTACATTTTTTAGTATCTCCTCTTATCTGACACACATTAACACAGGCAGGCGTTGTGAGCATGTGACGGGATCACAGTGGGAGCTGTGTCGGTGTTTGTGTTCTACATGTTTCAACAGTCCTTATCTGTAGAGCAGTTATGGTTTCTGTAGGCGATCAAATCAGACGCCCACACAAACATAAACAGACTCGAGGCGGGGGAGCTCATTTTCTCGTCATTACTGCCATGAAGTTAACATCAACCAAACAAGTGTTGAAGGATCTTCGGGAGGATTTAAAGGACCCCCATGTCTCTCTTGATGTAATCATTTCAGTGTTTATCGATTCCTCCACCTGTCAGCTGTGTTCCAAGCTCACATGGCGGGGTCTACTTTCTGATTTATGGTGAGCAGAGACAGTTATGAGGAGGTCGTTTTTTTAGATGTCCCTGTAAAACTGCTGGCTTCATATTAAAATTCCTGTAAATTAACAAGCCTGTTTAAATGCTCTGGCAGCGTCAGGTCAGAGGGCGGAGGCTGTAAAGAAGTGGGACGCTTTCTTTTTTACTTAATGAAGACGCAGGAAGTTGTTTTTTTTTAAGTCAGAGGTGCTCTAACACACAAAGAAAGAAGAAAATAATTTTGAAATGTCGGCTTACCGATACATTTTTTAAATGGCATTAATTAGATGCTATTTTGTCCCTTTTAGCGCACCATAGTTAAGCAATTGCAGTGTCTTACCATATACATTATATATCTATATACACATAGATATATTGGCTTTTTATGCTTTTATGTAGAGACAGGACAGTGGATAAATCAGAAATCCTGAGAGAGAGAGGGGATATCATACGGGAAAGGAGCCACATGTCGGAATCGAACCCAGACGGTACGCTTGGAGGACTCCAGCCTCTGTTCATGGGGCGCTCGCACTAACCATTCAGCTACTAACGCCCCTAAACATATAATTTATTTTAATTCAAACCAAAAATTGCATATTTTCTGATAATATTTAAAAAATGTGTGTGTGTCAGTGTGTGTGTCAGTGTGTGTCAGACTAACTGTAAGCTCGGTCTGTTCGCCTGTATCTAAACAACAATTACTGTCTGACACAGAAGCCTACACTTTACTACCCCCCTGCTGTTAACCTGTTCAGGTAAATGACACAGCTCAGGTTAAACGCAGCTCTCTGTGCACAGTGTCTCCGCTAAAGGGTAAATGACACACACACAGGCCGCATTAGCTGCTTTATGTTATTGTTGGCGGACGTTTTCCAGCGCTCAGGTGCTTATTTGTGTCTTTTCAGTTTTACTTTTTGTACGCACAGGTCCGAGAGGCGAGGAGGGCGTGTTCTCCATCAGAGCTCTTTAACAGGTGGAGAGGAGTTACAGCCAGTGTTTGTGTTGCATCCTCAGAAACAACCACTAGGTGTCAGAGTTACATACCGCTCCTTTAAATATTGATGAAAGTTACATTTATTCCAGAAAACACACGGCCACACCAAACAAATTGATTTCCTAAAAAACGTTTCTTTTGACCAATTTTTCTGTTTTTTGTTAAATTGGGCGATTTTCCCCTCTGAGTTTCCTCGCTAAACATGTCAGATTTTTTATGGGAGTATGTATCAGTCTATGTTGGATTTGTGAGAGATGTGGTAAGGATTCAAGGCCATAAAGGTAGGGACCTTGTCGATAACCAGTGGGTTTATATCAAGAGGCGTGACAATAGCGAACATGGGAAATCTGAAATGAAATTTGATAACTCTAATCATATTTGAAAGTGAGTCAAAGCTCATTTATCTTGCCTCAGCAGTTGTGTTACCTCATCAATTGCTGTAACTTGTGATTTGTAGTTATTAAAGCATCACTTCATCATCTTCACCCAGCCTGGCTTCTCCTCGAGGAAGCAAGATGGAAAATGACCTCACATGACACATTCCTTAATGAGCTTATATTCACCTGTAATTGACTCTTCATACGTTTGGTTTATTTTGGCTTGTCTCACTTTCTTCCATATGACTCAGGAGGCTCTTAAATAAAGTTTGTTGTGTAATGCAGGAGCTGTACCTGCATGAAAGTTTGGCACCTCTAACTAAAAAATATAAAATCTAGTGTCAGGTTATGATGAGAGCAATCAAACAGGGCCGAGGTCCCGACAGAGTTTGAGAGACTGACTGTTTATGTTTTGCCTAAAGGGGTGAAAAGTTTTGTTGATTTGCAGCCGCCCATCAGATCACACTGTCATCCATGAACAACAGAACAGGGTTTATCAAAGGTTCATCAGCGATACGGATACGGACCGGTTCATGGAGGTATAAGATAAGTATATAAGTGTTTCTGTTCAGATATTTGTTTTGAAGAGAAGTCAAGGAAGAAGCAGGTGTAGGTTAAACTGTACTGAAAAGAATGCAAAAGATCACAGACTTTCACGGTGCATCAATTCAGGTCAACTGAGGATGTTTTTAGGAAAAGCCAAATGAAGAGCAGGCAAACCAAGCAAAAGAGATTTAAACAACAGCACATTGCTGCCAGGGTAGGGCTGCTCTCTAGTGCTTTGAGGCAAAAGGCCAAATCGTTGACAAAGTTTCCCGACAATTGTTATTATGTAAACCCTGAAAAGTTGTTCTTATTAGCTTTCTTTAGGTAGAAAACAAGATAAATACCAATCTGTACATTCAATTTTGTAGCTGTAGCTAGCAGCTGATTTGTGTAGCTTAGCATAAAGACTTGAAAATGGTGGAAAGATAAATACCACTCTTAAATCTGTGCGTTCGATTTTGTCGCTGTAGCTAGCAGCTGATGTGTGTAGCTTAGCATAAAGACTTGAAAATGGCGGAAAGAGCTAGCATGTCTCTATCCGCAAGTTACAGAAGCTTAGTTATTGACTATTTGTAAAATCTGTACTTCAAAATAAAGATAAACATCTAGAAGAAGTTGTGGCTTTATGTGGGGTTATATGTTTCTTGGCACATGCCAGTGACTTCCCGCTGTTTCCTTGCCTAATGCTAAGCTAAGCTAACCAGATGCTAACTCTCGCTTTGCGTTTATCGTACATACATGAGAGTGGTATCTATCTGATCGTCTGACTCTCGGCAACAAGGCCAATACAGCAAAAGTATTTCACAACATTTTGAACTTATCTTTTAAGGGGCCCACAAACAACAACAAGAAACAAGAAAATTCATATTTCTCGTTCCGATCGACCCTGGAAACCAAAATAAGTCTTGAACCTTTTCAAACAAAGAGTTATTGTTTTATTGTAATGATCTGATGATGTAATTCCCGACATAGCTTTTCTACCCTGGTGTTTCACTCATCTACCAACATGCATGCCAGTAACTCCGGAGGGCGTAGCTGGCACAAGAACATTATTATTAGCAGTAGAGAAATGGGCAAGGCATGCTGGGACATAGCGATATGAAGAGAAGATGTTTTCCTACGGGCATAGAGACAAACATCCGGTTATAATTGGAGGAACAAACACACCTCTTTGTTTTAAAGATTGCATCAGGTTAAAAAAGAAAAATAGATTGACATGTCTCGTAAATCCATTGGTAATGCCTGAGTAAGACCCTGCTCCTTGGGGGCGCAAATACCCCAAACTCAATCACAGCAAAACTCGATCCAGACGGCGTGTGTTGGTTTTAGGTGGTTTTCATTATCATTAGCCAAAGGGCTTTGGTTTCACTTTAACTTAGAGCCCTGAGACTTTGGGAAAACACAGAACCCGAGTGTTTAAAAAGTTGTGTGTGTGTGTGTAAGGTTGGACTCTCCTGGCTTTAATATCTGTGTCATGTTGGATTCATTAGGTCCAAAAACATCCGCTCCCATTGGGTAAAGCCCCAGGGGTCAGAGGGCACTGTTAGGGATGACAGGAGGGCTTACATGTGTGTGTTTGAGCTTTCTGAGACAGCAGCAGGGTCAGGAAGGATGTGCTTTATTTAATTTAGCCAGA